GGGCAGGGAGGGGCTCCTCAGGAGCGGGGGTGGCATGGGTGCTGGCCCCGTGCAGGGGGCGGGGCCCCTTGTTGGGGCAAGCACGCGCCATATGTCCATGGCCCCCACAGTAGAGGCAGAGGCCACCATTGATCCGGTCTTGCCTCTTGGCAGGGATGAGCTTTCGACGACCTGCAGAGAGGTCCATGGGGCCGGCGGCGGTACCGGTGGCTGTGGCGGAGGAGGCAGGAGCAGCTGCTGGGGCGCGAGGGGCGGCGGGTGCTGAGGATCTCCAGGAGGTTGAGGAGGAGCCTTTCTTTTCGGCGGCGCGGGCGCGGACATTATTGTCGAGTTGTTTGAGGAGGGAGAGGTAGTCGTTCAAGGATTCCGGGACGGGGAAGACGTGTACCAGGGCGTCCTTCAGCTCTGTGCTGAGGCCTTGGTAGAGGGCGGTACGCTTGGCAGTGTCGTTCCAGAGGGTGTCGACCGCCAGGCGTTGGTAGTCGGCAAGGTATTCCACGAAAGGCCGGTTCTTTTGCTGGAGGCTCCTCAGGGCGCGTTCCGCTGTTTGGACCCTGTTAGGGTTGCCGAAGGCTTGTTCTAACTCGGCGTAAAAGGCATTCATGTTTTCGAGGTTGATACGGTCGGGTAAGACGAGGTGTTGGACCTGGAGGAACGCGCGTCCACAGAGGAGGCCAATGGCATAGCCAAGGCGGTGTTGTTCGCTGGTGAACCGGTGGGCGTCGCCCTGGAGTTTCATCCGTAGCTGGGTGACGAAGGGGCGGAGCTTTTCGGTCGTGCCATCGAATTGCTCGGGGTCGGGGATCGAGACTTGTTTGTTGCCGCCAGCGGGGGCTACGGCACCTGGGGCAGGCATGAGGGCGAGGGCGGTGTTCAGGGACGTGATGGTGGCGTTGGCCTGTGTGAGGCTGGCTTCCACTATGAGGAGACGGGCTTCCAAGCCCTGGTACTCGGTTCGGGCTTCATCCCGTTCTTGGGTCAAGAGGTTACAGTGTTGTTGTAGCTGCTGGTATTGGGGGGCCTGTTCGATGGCAGGAGGGGCAGGTAACCCTAGTACCTGGTTGGCTAGATTTCTGGCGAGGGTGAACTGGTTGCGGATCTGTTCGACTGAGTGTTCTTGGATATCTTGGTCGGTGAGGGCTCCAAGGGCCTGGAGGGGGCCGATGACCTCGGGGGTGAGCTGGGACATGGTACGGTGTGGGTTGGGTTTTGGTAGAACGCAATCTTGTGTAACGGACAAGGTCTGAGGGTCGGGTAGCCCAAGGCACACCACAACAGGAACAGGCGAGAGTTCGGAAGCGACGTCTAGGGACAGGCGTACAACCGAAGCGAGTTGTACGATATTCAGGAGGTCGGGGGTTCAGGGTCAGGGTTCAGGGGTTCAGGAGGACGCGAAGTAGGAGAGAGTGTAATTCCTAGGTACAGGTGTCCGAAGGAGATTACCAGATTGCGTAAAGAACCTAAAATATAAGGGGGCACACCCCCTTATATAACAAAGAAATCCTACATGATAACTAATACAAAAGAAAGTCCTTGGCGTCGCGCGCAGCCGCAATCCTTCCATCCGTTTCCGTCACGTTCCCTTGCGTGGCAACTCATTCCAATCACGTATACAAAGGAAATCCAACTATGCAACCAAGGAAACCATCACCAATATATGCAACGAAAACCCCATGCATATTCCGTCTCCATGACTGGGTGGCCGTGACAAGGAACCACCCCCGGCAGAAGATGAACAGAGACGAACTCGATCAGGAAGAGTCATGTGTCCACCGTAAAAATATGGCAGAAACGCCACCGAAATGCCGGACGAGGATCCTACCACCTACCACCAAGCTATAAATAGCCCCTACCATGACCAGTGGACCTCAGCCATGGACTACGAGATTTTAGCTCTTGAGAAAAGTGGAACCTTTGATGTTGTTGACAAACCAATAGGACGGAAAATAATCGATAGTAAGTGGGTTTACAGAGTTAAACGGAAAGCTGATGGCACCTTAGAAAGGTATCGAGCAAGAGCCGTTGCCAAAGGGTTTAGTCAAATTCCCGGCTTTGACTTCAAAGAAACCTTTGCCCCCGTTATCCGTTATGAATCTCTCCACTTCCTCCTCGCAATATGGGCTAAAAATAAATGGCGACCGCGACAATTCGATGTTAAATCCGCCTTCCTATACGGTGAATTGAAAGAAGAAGTTTACATGCGACTGTTACCTGGGTTCGGTGACGAAGGAAAAGTATGGAAACTTAACCGATGTTTCTATGGACTTAAGCAATCTGGAAACGAATGGTATGCTCTCTTTGCCAGATTCTTGACCTCCAGAGGATTTATGACATCATCCCTTGACCCATGCATGTTTGTTCACGATAAATACAACATCTATGTTTCGATTTACGTTGACCATATCGCTATCCATGTGGCCGATACCCCTGAAGCAACATCTCTAATAGAAGACCTGAAAACGGCATTTGAGATCACAGACCTAGGGGAAGCTACGTTCTTACTCGGCTTACACATCGCATACACATCAGATGGGCTATATCTTATCCAAGAGCAATACATCAAGTCAATCCTCAAACAATTCAAAATGGAAGACTCAAACAGCGTTTCTACACCCTTACCAAAAGGCATTCAACTTACGAAAGGGACCAAAGACACACGCATTCAAGACCCCTCCATTTACCAATCAATGATAGGATCACTTATGTATCTGACTACTGGCACAAGACCCAATATAGCGTACACAATTTCCTTCCTCTCACAATTTTCTTCTTGCCCTACCGAACAACACCTCAAGGCCGCTAAACACGTCCTTCGATACGTTAACGGAACAAAACACATTGGACTCTTCTACCCTTACAACACGACAAACGCTATCGACACATACGTTAACGCAGACTTCGCTGCTTGTCTTGATACTCGTCGCTCCTTTTCGGGATACATTGTACTTCTTAATGGTGCATGCATCTCGTGGCGTTCGAGGAAACAAGCCTCAGTCGCACTATCAACAACTGAAGCTGAATACGTCGCGATGTCACTTGCCGCAAGACAAATCCAATGGTTCCGCAAGGTTCTCAAAGATATCGGTCTCGACTTACCGATCGCTTTACATGCAGATAATACCGGCGCAAATTTCCTCGCAAGAAACCATCAGCTAAATGAGCGAACGAAACACATCGATATGCACTACCACAAAATACGGGAAGAAATCGACAACGATTTGTTCACACTCTTAAAGGTTGACACCTCCGATAACCTCGCCGATATCTGCACAAAAGTCTTAGCGAATCCAGCACACAAACGGTTAATGGGACTTTTGGGCTGTAGATAATGAGGGGAAGTGTTGAATTTCCTAATTCGTTTCATATGTATATTCGCCTTAATAATATGGTATATTTCTCTACTTGGTATTATTCTGAACATTACTACAGCGGGAGTATGTATTACGCATATGTCATTGATATTTCATGATACGATTAGGGGATTATGGCGTGCTTTTCTTATCTGGTGTTCAGGTTGATTTATTTCACTTATCCGTTCACACCATCTGAGATTTACGCATGCTTTATGGAATGTCCTTGGCAGTTCTTCAGGGTCAAACATGTTCGCACTTATGTTTTTCCTACTTACATTACGGTCAAACACGTCGATACTTTGTTTTCCCTTACATTTCCTCTTAAGTTACTTGAAGGATGCACACCTGTATAAATAGACGCTACCATCCATCTCATTTAAAGAGATTAAGGACAAGAACTACTACCAACCTACCTTCATACCAAACTCCTCCTCGCTTAACGTGCCTGTGGTATACCCTTTCTACCACGTTGTATTTTCGTACAAAGTTATTAAGATAGTGCCGTACCCTACACATTTGAACATAGATAACTCCTGATGTCATCCCGGGTAGGAATAATAGGTACCCCAACTACCCGACCGAAGAACCTCACGATCTCGTCCTCCATATGAGGCCTCCCGGAAGGAAGACTCGCGCGTTTGGTGACAAGCGAATGAGATCTCGCAGTGACTCAATGAGATCCCGTCGGTGCTTCGGAGCCGCTTCGTCTAAAGTGTCGATGCATATGAATACCCGTTGCAGCGGTGTAATGGCCTCCTTCAAAATTTCTGCTACAGCGGGAGGTTGGAGACCTCGGGCGCCAAACTCCCTTTTAACTTTCCGAAAGGCCTCACGTATGGTCTCCGGGATTTCTGCCCTAACGACCAGTTGCTTGAGGATTGCACCCAACATATTTTCGGACGACTACTCCTACTACGCAAGGAAATTGCAGTAGAGTCCGGTGACAGCAATGTTGTTCCCTCCAGCCCAATCACAGAGCCTGTCAATTACCAGGGGGGAACTATAATTTGCTAATTATCAATGACGCCTACGCTGTCTTTCTCCGAATTAGGCGCATCACTACCTGAGAAATGTTTTCCCCACCCCTGGGTTCCCGTAACAGAATAATACTGCCTCGACGCAACCGCCCCCCCCCCCCCCCCCACCCACTCCATTCTCTAAACTCAGTAGTCTCTAGCACCCAGTTTCCCACGCCATCGAGTCGGTCGCTTCGCACGCCTTGATGCCATTGCTGTGGTTCAAGTAGTGATAGCCACTGTAGAATTTGACACCCCTCGTCGTCTGTTCCCGTATTGACGTTGAAAACATTCTTCTGTTTGATCTTCGTCGAGACATTGAATGTGTTGGTATTACCGGTGATTAGTTCGTACCCGGATGACATCTCCGCTATGGATTATCTAAAATTCCTTTCTGCGGGGGAGGTAGAGAGCGATCGTATGCAATGAGAATTCGACTTAACTTGGGGTTTGAGGGAATCTCTGGGACCTGAAGCGAGAGGGAGGTTGGAGCCTTGTTAGAGGTAATCGATTAGGCCCTGGCGTTGCACAGGTGTGCGCTGGTTGAATCGCCACACCGGCGGTGCGGAGAAGGCTCTCCAGCCACCCTCATTACTTCGAGAGAGCTGATCACAGCTGCTAATGTTTTTTTTCGGAGCGTTTGTCACCTGCTCAGCCAATCTTTACTGTGTTGATTGCAATGTTATTGCTGCTTGATGACACCGATGCTTCTAGCGCTGCAAATTTCGATGCCGGTGTTAGAACGCGCAAGGAACCGGAAAAGTATAAGAAGGTTGTAAAGGAGCATGTGGAGACTTAGGGCCCGCTTACCTAACAGTTCCGTTATGGAAATTCGCATGGTGGGCTGGAACGGTACCGTCAGCTCAGGGTTGTGTTGCAACTGACCGTGCCACACGTCGTGTTTACCTAATTTTCAACCGTCAAGAATTTTGGGTGCTTGATGGTGAAAATGAAAAGGTGCTCCAGAGGTGCGCTAGCAACACTGTCAGCCTCAAAAATTGATGCATTGTCACTATGCCTCTGACCAGTTATGCCCACAATAGCCATACCACCACTGCCAATCCTCTGCTTTCTTTGCTCTAGTAGTTCTAGGATAAATATATCAGAAATTGAAACCATTGCCGACTATCATTAAGGTTTTCATTTAGCATGGTACTATGTGTAACGTGTTCATGCTGGGGTGCTAATCACGCTGTCGGGTACAATAGGAGAGAGGTGACGTCTACCAGAGACTGTCAACTCTAGGCTCACTAAGGGAGGCTTCGTTGACGTAATAGGAGAATAAAGATAACCGTTCAACTGAGTATATTAAAATACTGTCTGTCAAAGTCTGCTCTTTCCATCGCGGAAACGAGCGGTCTATTTAAGTACATGTGTTTGAGTACGATCATGAATTCTCACTCATGTTCTTACTCAATCAAAGCATAAAAATAACCAAGGCCCTGCTCGGCATGACACAATAAAAAAAAATTGTGATTTTTCTTAAAACAACATATTTCTGAATCTATGAACAGAATAAGAATTAAATAAAAAATAAAGTTTATAGTCCTATAGTAGATACCCTTCTCCTCATTCTGGCCTAAAGAAAAGTCAAGAGGAGCATTTGTTGTAGTTAAGTAGGGAAATTAGTAATGTTGCAAAATATGGTGGTCCCCTTTTCTCTATATTTTGCAACATCACTAAATTTAGTACTTAACTGCAACAAATGCTCCTCTTGACTTTTCTTTGGACCAGAATGAGGAGAGGGGTATTCTCCATAAAACTATACTTTTTTATTGTACTTTAACCCTTATTCTATTTGTAGATTCAGAAATATGCTGAGGTCAACGATGATTACAGGCTTGGATTTCAGGAGAACAGCAATTATAGTGACACCAGTGAAGATTAAGATATGGTTTTTGGTATGATTTCATTTTGAACTCAGAGTACAGTTACTATTTGCTGATTTGGTTAGAATTTACAGAATGATGAAGTAGTGAGGTGGTGGAAATGAACCAGAGAGACAGATAGAAGCAGAGTGGAATTGCCTGCTTATTATATTTCTGTCTTGCTGGTTATCATCTTTTCTCTTATGGGAGTCTGAAGTCATGTTATAATATACTTTTCTTGCTGACTCTTTTCTTCTACTATCTTTTTTCTTATTAGGGTTCTCTGTATTTCTAATTTTGAGTGATCAAAGTTTTCCTATTGTATCTGCCCAACTGAGTTTCCTTTTGTCTCAGGCTCACTATTTTTTTATTTTGATATTAGATCCTCAGGTTTCTCTCTGTACTGGATGCTAGTGGTCAGCATTTCATAGGAAGGAGGAAAGAGGACAGCCTCTGTAATGGCTGGGGGGGCTCCAGTTGCAGAGGGATCCTAAGGAAGACCAATATTTATTTGATAATACTGGTCACAGTGCCTGTGAGATCAGTTGTTTTCATATTTTTGTTATAATCATATGAGAAATGAATGGCTTATTGTCTACTAACATAGGCCTGAGGTCAACTAACAGATGAGTTCAATGAACAGACCAAAGAAGAGACCAAAAATAACCTGCATTTATTAAGACAACTTTAGTGTATTGTTTACTAAGCTTCCCTGTTTGTTAAGCCCCTGTCTATTTCATATGTAATTGGTAATCATAAGGCTGATTTCCCAAACACTCAAATTCTAAAAAAGGTTGCTAATGCCCTACACCTAAGGAGCCATCATAATAGTCATTACAAATTAGATGGTATAGACTGTGGCAAGAATATAACAGAAATTTTAACAGGCAGAAACTTTTTGACTCAGCTTTCTCATTATCAGGAGGGCTTTGGATTCACAAGTATACTATGAGTTTTCTTCTGAAATACATATTATCATAGTAAACAGCTTTTCTCACACTGGTCTAGTATCATGGTGTGAGATGTAAAATGCGTGTCATTTCATGTTTACTGCCTTATAGTCTGATTAGCTAAACTACTCTATTCCTTCTCAGACCCACTAGTAATCCCCAGCTGTCTGTAAAATCAAATAGAATCGAGTCACAAAGGCAATATTTCCTTCCTGGACCTTTCTAATGAGTAACCTAGCAGCTTTGAACTTCTTGTTCTCAACAGAAAATATGCAGCCTCCCAAATCACATTTGTCAGCAAAGATTTGATCCCTAGGCCCAATAATGGCAATTTCTGATGTGGCCGCACCCTGATTCCAGTGCACCAGCATAGCTTAATTGGCCTTTCCAGCTGTCTCCACTATTGATCAGTCTACTTTCTCCACTTGTGCCCCAGGATATAGGTCTCCAATCTCCAAAATGTGGTCTTCTGAGTAAATATTTTCTCCAGACCTTCATATTTGCTCACAGGTTAGTAATATTGAAATAACAACAAGAGGTCATAGGTAGAGAGGACAGACCAATCCAAATTACAAGTAAAGATAGACCAATCGATGCTGGTGAGCCAGGATACTCTGGCTGAAAAACAAGGAAGACCCCTTCTTCCAATTTCTTGGTTATGATGATACAATAGGTTACTATGTATTCTAAAATGAGAGTATATAATAACTCTGAGGTTCTGTCCATGCAGAATACCAGTTTTGGGTTGAATATTCTTGCATGGATCGAGTAACCCCATACCAGATAAACAATCATGAAATTAAAACTGCTCCAAGATCTCTAGTACTTCTCTCTCTTTTTCAGGTCTAAGGTATATTCTGTTTCTCAGAAGGCAAAGGGTAGTATATAGGAGCAATCTCTTAAATCTAGACATAACCTCAATCGTTGCTAGTGAGGAGACAGGCATTCTGTGGAGGGTACCTGGTATACAATATACTGCAGTAATACCAAACTGCATTCCTGGTATAGAGTTACCTTTGAGAAATTCCCCAAAGCTTCCAGCCCCTGAAATACTCCCTGCATGTTGTTAGATCTAATCAATATACTAGGACTCTTGGGAAGGGCTTCTATACTTTCAACTCCAATAGAGTATCCTTGTAGTATCAATTCCTCTAGCCCAATAATAGGTCCTAGTACCTATATACTCTCTATTTCCACTGTTGCTAAAATGCAATCTTTATGGAGCAAAAGGAGTAGACCATTTGGAGTGGCCAGAAGAACCATTTCTGAAAGGTTAGAGAATGACCCAGGTAGGCTGAATATCAACATTGGAACTACTACTTGCTCAACTTTCTAGACACCAGCCAAAATTTCATAGACATCCTGCATCTCAAATTGCTGAAGAACTTGGATGATGTAAGAGTTGATCTCACTCACATCAAACTTGAATGCTTGTGGGAGGGGCATAATCGCTGGTCCAACCATCCCACTATTTATGACTGACAGCCTGACCTGCCTTTAGCTAACTCAAAGTTTGCCTACTTTGACTAGCAATAATCCTGTCATTCCTGTTTGACTTCCACCTAATTAGTCTCTACCCTGAAAAACTTTGCTTCACATTTTGGAAATGGGATATCCTCTGTGGCTGACACATACCATGAGGTCAAAGTAACCCCTAATATGATTCTTGTATATATAAGCAATAAGGGAGGCAGGGAGTATTGTCTGTTATAAAAGAACTATGAGCTGCAATGAATATAAAACTAGAATATGATAGACAATTGCATTAAATCCACCACATACAATAACTGTAAAAAAAAAAAAAAAGAAGGAGTGCAATAGAAACAGAAAAAGCAGTTTGAGTTTGTGAAGAAAATTAAGAGAGGTGAGAGGCAATATTATGTATGGTAAAAAGAGCCTGAAGACGCGTCCTCTGGTAAAATAGTATTTCCGTTGCAACTGATCCAGGTTGTGCCAAGACATGCCAATACACACTAAGTAAGATAAAATAATAAACCAGTTTGAAGAGAATTACAAACAACAGAAGATGAAGAGAAAATATAATTAATATAATTCTGTATTGTCATAATAAATTAATAGAAGGAAAGTATTTAACAAATTTCTTTAGTAAAGGAAACATAGTGATGACTTTTATATACAATATTGGTAAATTGTGTGGTCCTATACTGTAATCCAACATAATAGGCATCAGGTATACAAGTGCTTTTCCACTAGTATTTGTGGAGTAAAAGTGATAATATCTCCTTCAAAGCCTTTGAAACTGTCTTGATCAAGGAAGGCCAATTATACTAGCAGTTTTTCCTTGTAAACAATTTTGCTGGTCCCCATCTATACTTAATCCAATTGAGTTCACAATGAATTTCAGCAAAAAATAAATACAAATGATCTCTCTTCTCAACTTCCTCCTGAAGATGTGACTTTTATTCTAAAAAGTCAGGCTGAGTAGAAAGTAACCTTCTAGTGTAACAAGAAATACTTATATGACTTCAATCTGCCTTGTACTTTTTGGTCTTACGGTCATGTTGTAATCCACCTTCTGGCTATAGACCACATTCTTGTAAAACCATCTTACATCCTTTGGGCTTACCCCTCCAGATTTCTGTTATTGAAAGATCATTTTTGTCAAAAGTCATATGCTGAATATATAGAGTAACACCACTTGGCTTATAATACCATCTACTTTGTAGGCAGGGCTACTTTACACTGGAATTTATGTTTATTCGAGATGCTCGAAGAGTATCAGGTACATCTGCTACATAGAATATTACAAGATCGAAGAGGAAAGGGGCTTGTGTATTTGGAAATATTGTTTCAAAAATTGGGATTGCAATATTAAGAACTTCGTTGATGAGATCTTCAAGGTCTTCTTTCTACCAAGATTCTTTGTCCGTGTAAATCTAGCAATAATGTACTCCATTATTAGAATGGAAAGTATATTCGTCATATATACAAGGAATTAACAGATACTTTCTAGC